AAAAAAAAAAAAAAAATCACAGAACATTTCAGCAGCATTCCCACCAAAGATATACATATGGCAAGAAAGCATATGGAAAGATGTACAATATCAATGAAAGCTTATACTTGTATCTCATTGCATCATATGTGATTGTAGACATTAAAGCACAATTAACCAGCAAAAGCAGAAAAGAAAAGATGTATGATATATGTCATCAGGGAAATGAAAATCAAAACAAGATACCACCACACAACTATAAGAATGACCAAAAGAACATCGACTACTACAGACACTAGCAAGTGCTTGGAAAACTTTGTTGGTGGCAATACAAAATGGTGCAGCCACTTAAGAAGTTTTCCAGTTTATTACAAAATTAAACAGTGTTATCATATAATCCACAAGTCATGCTCCCTGGTATTTAACCAGAGAAGCAGAAATTTCATGGCCTGATAGCTCATTTCTTTCTTTTTTTTTTTTTTGAGACAGAGCCTCAAGCTGTCACCCTGGGTAGAGTGCCGTGGCATAGCTCACAGCAACTTCCAACTCCTGGGCTCAAGCGAGTCTCCTGCCTCCGCCTCCCAAGTTGCTGGGACCACAGGTGCCCGCCACAACGCCTGGTTATTTATTTTTTTTTGGTTGCAGCCATCATTGTTGTTTGGCGGGCCCAGGGCTGGATTCAAACCCGCCACCTTAGGTATATGTGGCTGGCGCCTTAGCCACTTGAGCCACAAGCGCCGAGCCGGTAGCTCATTTCTATTTAAATGCTGTGTCATATTCCATTATTTCCTCCCTCCTTGAACCGTATGAAAACAAACGGTAACCCCACCAAAAGGAGTCCATTTGGTCGAGGCTTCTCCGGCGTGGCTCCGGGCCATGGTCCTCAAATTTGCCTCAGAATAAACCTCTTCAAATTATTTTACACAGTGTGGCTTCTTTTCCGTTGACAGTTCACATCTGCCCATCACACTGGAAGGTCCGCTCCAAGGAGGCCTGCGCCCCCAGCGGGGACGCAACACCGCCTCAGCAGGCTCTCGCTGCTGGGTCCGGGGAGGCGCCACAGGCCGTGCAGAGCTGACCGGCCTCCTCTCCCAGTCCCTGCTCAAGCGCAGCCCTGCCTTAGCTTTTGGTGAATAACACATGTCAGCAGCTCAAGATGTTTGCTCAAATCCACCACATCCGAAAGCACAAACTGGAGAAGGCCAGGTCGTTCGCCTCCCCCACCTGACACGCAACCCATCCGCTCCGTCGGGGCCACAGCCAAGCCACTAACCAGGGCCCAAGCCCGCCCCTGGCCAGTCTGGGTCACTGACTGGCCGCCTCCCCGCCAGGCACCGCGATAGCCAGCCTGCCTCCAGCTGGGTCTTTCCGGCCTTAGCCCGGGCAGACCTGCTGGGGTCCTTGTGCCGTTGCGTAGCAGCTGCAAGGACGCGGGCCCAACCGGAAGCGGAGTGCGGAGCCTAATGAGCCGAGCCGGCTATCGAGGTCAGAGACGCGGCGAAGTCCGAGGGGGCAGGGGGGCCCCAGGTACAGCTGGCCACGGGCGGACTGACTTGCTAACTGAACTTGCCCGGGGCCGCACATGAGACAAATGCGCTTGGGTAGCGGCCTCAGTGTGTGGGTACTGCCCCTCGGAAGCGGAGCTAGGGGCCTGGGCGGAAGGGAGGGCGCCGGTCGCGGGAAGGACCGGACAGTGGGTTCACGCAGCTATGGTTGGTGCTTCAAAATATTTGTCGAGTGGGAAAGCTTGCCTTCTGGACAACGGCAACTATTGCAAGTCTTCGTGCATGGGACCTGTCCGGCTGAGATTGGCTTCAAACAGGTCGCTCTGTCTACAGGGTAGAAGTGGAGAAGGCAGACCCCTCATCGTCCTTACCAAGCATCTGCCACTTCCTGGGAATTGCGCTAGAAGCTCAGGGTGCCTCGGTAAACAACTCTCAGTCCTTGCCAGCGCAGACACAATAGCTGTGCAGTAACCCAGTCAGGGAAACTCAGGCGCCTTGTTATTATTTCCACCGCTGACTGTGTGCACTCTTGTCATAGCTCTTACCACAGTAAACTCTGGCATCATGGTGTCTCATCTCTGCTCCCAATGCACCATTTGCTCATGGTGAATGTTCAGAAAGGTCCAGTCATTGCTGCTACATTGTCATCATCGTATCATTTCTGTGTTCCTAGCTAACTCAGGGTCTGGACTATGGTACATTCTCAGGAATGTTTGCAAAGTAATATTTAGGCATGAGGGGGGCTAGAGATGATGTTACACTTAGATGTTGCCACTGGGTGTCCAATGATATCTTGTGCAGATGGCAACTATGAGGAGCAGCATTTGGGGTGTGCTAGGCTGGCACCGAGGGAAGCAGTCTGCTTGGAGTTTCAGTTTGGCATCATCAGCATTTAGGAGATATTGAAAACTAGGAAAGAGGCTCAGCGCCTGTGGCTCAAGCGGCTAAGGCGCCAGCCACATACACCTAAGGTGGCGAGTTCAAATCCAGCCGGGACCCGCCAAACAACAATAATGGCTGCAACCAAAAAAATAGCTGTGCGTCGTGGCGGGCGCCTGTAGTCCCAGCTACTTGGGAGGCGGAGGCAGGAAACTCGCTGGAGC